AAAAAATTATCATTTGCATGGTCATAATTAAAAATGATCATGAATAATCAATACCTTCATTTTTTCACTCTCACCAGAATACCATGCCTCTAACAATCCAGTAAGTTAGAAGTGAGAACTGGAGGAAGAAGCAGTATTCTCTGCAAAACAAGACAGTATTCTTCATAAATGCTACATTTTCTTTTTATTAAAAAGGAAAAGGAAGCAAGAGTAGCTAAGTTCCCTTACTCAAGCCTTAACACCTTGTTTATCTTGTCAGGGTAATGGAACCAAGGTTTGCCATGTGGATAGGACACCAGTCATTTCCCCATCTTGTTTTATTACCCATGGGATGGTTCCATCTTGTAGCCTACATAGAACATACTGTCCTGGAAACAAGGAATGAGTCTGACATTTCACTGGGACAAAAGACTCCTCTCACAGCTAACAATATTGGTGGGTCAGGAGTGGATCTCAAAGTAATTTCTCTTTCCCCAACTACTCATTCATTAAGAACCTGCTGATATAATTTTCACCCAATGTGTGTTGATTGAGGACCATAACCTGCCAAGAACTCTGCAAGAAGCTGGAGGTATCTTGATGACTACAGTTGGGGCACTCACAGAGATTAGCCATGGAGTGAGGCCAACATTCAGTAAAAGGATGCAGAATTTCAAACTGAGCCAAGAAACAGTTCTTTAAAAGTATAAAACCTCTCCCCAGCCTGCAATGTCAGCAAAGACTTCCCTGAGTGAGTGACACAAGAACTGAGTGGAAATCTCTTGGAACCACATTCCCAGATTCCTTTTGTGGCAGGTCTGGTTAGATCCTGCCAATGAGAGGCACCTGTGTGAAATCTAGAGCTCTCTCCCAGGACTTTAATCTTAATCAACAGCATGATGTAAGAGCACTGGGAGGAGGGTGAAAGGGGAGCCATCAGCAGAGAAGATGCCTGACCAGACATTTCTGGTTATGAGATCATGGCACTCTCTCCTTTCTCTTGGTCTCCTACAGTTGTCCTGATTCTTCATCATTCCTAATCTGGTTCCATGGACCAGATACTGGGACTCTGGATATCCTTGCCATAAATTCCTTTTTGTTCAAGGTAGTCAGAATTAGCTTTTACTATTTGCACCCATCAAGCAATTTGCTTCTAGTAATACACGATGTTGCTCTCCATTATGCATGTCTATCTCCCCAACCACACTGTCAGGTTCCTGAGAACTGGAGAATGTCTTATTTCCCTTCGAGCCTCTACGATGTGGAGTACTGACTGCCCGGCACATAAGAAACACTCAGTAAATGCAAAAAGAATACAATTTTCCATATGTTCAAAAAATAAGTGATTTGCCAATAATAAATATAAAAGTGCAACTGGATGTTTAAACACCAAGCAAGAGCTCAGTTCAGTTAAAAAGTCCTCCATAACTTACATCAACTTTACACTAACATGGAAATCTCTACGTTCTAGAATCATCTCCTCAGATACTGTTTTTTGATAAACCTCATGAAGAAACCCAGTATGCTAATAACCATACTCCTGTAGCATCCTTGCCTCTGAGCTTATCATTATTCAGAATTTTCACTGCCATACTTCCAAAATGGCAGACTAAAGCTGCTAAAGTAGGCAAGTCCATAGACGCCACCCAGAAGCCAATTCCACTCACCTCTCCCTGCCCTTTCCAACCCACAGGGCAATCCATGAAGCCACATGGGCAGCTAGTGAACTTGGCTTCCAGAGAAATCACCATCTGTTTTTCTACTAATAAAGTACCTCTGCTCTATAAAATGGGACTGAAACCTAGAATGAAAATGGAGATAGAATTTTTGTCCAATTTAATGGCTTTTTAAAAATTTCTTAGGTAGTAAGTTTATGTTGCATGAGCTACGTAACAGTCTGAGTTTGATCTGGTTCAAATAATGCTACCATGTCCTATAATCCTGGGCACTATACAATTTCCAAATGTACACTGTCATCAAGGTTTTATGACATTTCCTACAAAAACTCAATAGCCAGGTAGCACTTCATCAGCTGAAGTCTGAATTCAGGTATGAGAACAGAATACAAAGGCTGCAGCTTGAAAACTGTACTGCTCCTCTGACTTCAGCATCACAGCCATAAGAGGATACTCTACTGAACAATTTTCATACCTGTACATTTTTGTCCCTTACTAAAAGAACTCCATGGCTGGGAATTATGGAGTAGAGCCAAAAGTATGGCAGTAAAACCAAAATCCATGCTCAATGACTGCTCTTTTCCTACAAAAGCTTGCTCAGAGATACTCCGTCACCTGGTTCTCTGTTTATTCAACTTCACTTCCTTCTTCAAGTAACAAAATGCTCTAAGCACTGTGTTCATGCCTGCTGCCTAGTCATGTGACCTATTCACGTGGCTTATGGAGGACACAAGATTTCTGAGACCCAGGACTCTAAAGGCAAGACTGACAGATACGAGGTGCAAGCCTAGCTTCGCCAGGTTAAACATGGCTATGAAAGGAGCATACCCATTTCTATTGGCATCAAAACACAGTGCTGGTTGCCAAAGAGTCTATAAGAAAGAAATATTAAGTAATACTACATGTCTGACATTGACATAAGTTTATTATTTCTTTCATGCCAACACACCCTAATCCAAAGCTTATGCTGTTCCAATCCAGGCCTGCCCTAAAACAGCCAATTATGCTGAATGTGGTCAAAACTTGAAGGAGTCTCCAGTCCCAAAGACAATGTTTCATTGGCCCATTAGCTTCTGTATTAGTTTCACATTTTGAGTTGGTTTCTGAATTGTGTGCATTACTTCTTTGGGAATTATCTCTCCTTTACATGGCAGGTATAATAGAACTCCTTCCCCCACACTAGGTTGTCAGTGGTATTATTTCCTTCTCAAATGGATTGGTTAACACTCAGTGAAAAAAAAAAAAAAAACCTGAAGCTAAAGAACTGCTCTGAATACACATGAAATATTTCCTAATCCATTATCTACATGGTTTAAATAAGTGGGATTATAATCATGTTCCCAAAGGAGCCATAATATACCATTGGCTTTGTTCTAGAACTTCCAAACTAGTCCCACACCTTTGAGCCTTGCTTTTGGAGCAAAGTATAAAATTTTGCAAAATGTGCACATCAGAAATGTCATTTGTCACTTTTGCATTGAAAGTACCTTCCCAAATTCTTTACCAAGAACATCAATGTCATTTATTCCTCAAGAGTCAGAGCACTTAGTCTCAGCTCCTTGTAAAACAAGCAATTGTGATGTTCTTCATTGATTGACACCTGGTATCATCATAAAACTTGAGGTCCAAAGGAAAATGAGGCCTATTCTCTCAACTTGTTATAACCACTTTATTCTATTTTCTCAAAGACAAAAAACCAAAAAACTTGCATCTAGGTTGCATGACCTTGGGCAAGCCTACCATAGGCTTCAGTGTCCTTCAGTTTCCTGGGGTTAATAACTATACACGCCTCAAAGGATTATGGTAAAAAAAAAATAAGTAAACATTGCATATAATGAGCATAGCAAAGTATCCAGCATACAGTGTTCAACATAAGTTCAATAAATGTCAGCTTTCATCATTATTCACTGCTGGGGATTTTAAATGAAAAGTTTTCTTTTGAATCCTTAGTACCTGCCCCAAGAATTGCCATTCTGTCTCTCTGTTAGTCCTATCTGCCCTTGATAGCCCCATTGATTCAAGGGTCCTTGGTCACGTCTTCTGAGCTCTCTTCTATACATCTGTACCAATTAGCTGGAGCTGCAAAGGGAAGATCAAACTACCAGAGCCTTGTCTGTAAAGATTTCAACAGAAATGAATTGATAATATGATCCATCAGATCACCAATACCCTGAGAGTGAGGATGGAATCCACAGGGGCTGGGGGTTACTTCAGGGGCATGTGACTTATATAGCAGCACAGGGAAGGCCCCATGCTCAGAAGAGCCCTGGGCTTGGTTTCATGCTCATCCAGAAATTCTCAATAAAGTGTGAATGATTTTCATTTTGCAAAATTATGTAGGTGGTTACTATGACTGGAGAGTTTTGATCAGACTGATATAAACTGTTTCATGTTTTAAAAGGCCTACTCCAGCTTTTATGTTCAGAACAGCCTATAGGAAAGGTACGGGTGGAAACGAAAAACGGCTAGGATGTTGCTGGTATAAACAAGGTGGGAGATGATAGTGGCAAATAACACCAGAAGGAGGGGCCAATTAGAGTTCATTTGTCAGCAGCCGTAGCCTGGGTGCCCAGCAACATGCCTGTTTATGGCAGCGTCCCAGCCAGCTGGCTCCTCCTGCCCACCACCGGTTCCTACCCAGTTTCCATGCTGGTAGAAAACGGGAATTAAAAAAAAAAAAAAAAATCAGGGTGGATTCCCCAAATCTGGATCCCTTACAACAGAGAAAATGAGCTGCTGAGGGAAAAAAGGAAAGAGGGGCCCTAGCTAGATCAAGCGTCTTCTGTGTTAGGTGACTGTAGTCGGGAGCTTATTATATATTGTCTCATTGATTCCAGTTAAGTAATAGAGGTAAACAATAGTCATCACTCACACACACACACACACACACACACACACACACAAAATCAGTATGGGTTCAACAAGAGTAAGATGTACTAAAACATACATAAATAAAAAATGCATCTAAAATATCTTAACGACCTGCAGAATACATTGCTCAACTCTCCATAAGGAAAAAAATAACTAACTTTTCAGACTTGTAATTATTTTAGATGTATATCTAAATTTGTATAATTATCTCTATATTTAAGCTGGAAAATATAGAAAGAATCATCACTATTTAGTTTTCAGGTAATCAAATAGAAAATTCATCAGGCTATGCTAAAAATGGCATGATACAACAAACAGTAAGTTAAATACCAGTAAGTGAAAAGTTTATACTTCCTAATCTAAAACTTTAAAAAAAATAGTTTCTTCTCTTCCATGTGCTTAAAAATTTCTCTGAAATGACAGAACATGGATGATTCCAATTCCCAAGCTAAAGGGCTTATGTCAGCTACTCACCTTCTTCTGAAGAACATTGATTTTTCTTTCCTTCACTTCTAACATATCCTTCATGTCTCGAATCTCTCCAGCCAGTGTCCCCTTCTCTTCCGTGAGGTCCTGCAGCTGCTTTGTTTTTTTATTGAGAAAAGATTCTTTCTCCTCCAGTCGTAACCTCAGCGCATCTACCTGAAGTCAGGAAAAAGAAAGAAGGGGGCAGTTTTACACAGTGGTCATCAGTAACCATCAGTCATGCCCTGGGAGGGAGTGGGACAGCAGTGTGCCTTTTCAGCACAGCATGGTTGTACCATTGCTCATGCTCATCTCAATGCCATGTGTTTTAACAGCCTGTATTTACCTTAAAATCCCATTGTGTGTGTATCTGAACAGTGATGCTTTTTTTAAAATCAAAAGTTTTTATGAAATAGTAGTATGTCTCCCTGTTATGAACCCATAAGCTGGAAAACAAAGCACATTGATAATCCATTGTGCAGGGAGGGTACAAACTTGCTCAGGCTCTGCAGCATCCTCCAAGAATATGGAGAACACAATGAGCCATGTCACAGACATCTGGAAGAACAAGACTGACAAGTAGAGAAACACTCCTGAATTAGAAAAATACAGGTTGCCAAGAGGAAGGAAATGCTATGGAAATGACCATTCTCCAGTGTTATGAAAGACTGCTTTCCAAATATTAAAGAAACAAAAAAGATACAAAAATTCCTATTTCTACCTTAGCTCAAAAATTAGATTATTACAATTCCTGCTTTTCAAATTCAGTAATAAAATGAGGAAATATAAGCTTTATTTTTCACACTTAATATTCCAAAGACCAAGTGCAAAAAAAGTTTACATGGGTAATGTGAGATTTGGGGGTGATGGGAGAATTTAATCCTCACCCTCCATACCAGAAATTTGATGGATAGTAGCTACAGCAACAATCAAGAAATAGTGAGTTGGCTAACTGAACATAATGAAAACAAACAAAATAATAAAAATTAAATTATGTTTGGGGGGGGGAAGAAGAAGAAGAAGAAGTAGTAGTGAGGCAAGCATGTTACTTAGAGATACCAAAATCACCAGGCAAAAAGAGTTAAAATAGGTTGTCTTGGGGAAGAAGAAATGGGATAGGGGTAAGTAGGGGTCTGCTGCATCTCATCACAAGTCTTGTTGAGCATTTGTCTATTATACTACCAGCAAATAAAATTTGGACCAAAAAAAAAAAAAAAGACAAAAATGTTAAAAAGAAAAAAGAGGCAGGAATACCATAATAAGCCAAAATAAATAGATATATAAATTCTATCAGGACACAGATTCAAAAGGCAAGTTGGCACACTGGAAAAGACACTTTGGTTTTAGGCTGGGTTCTGCTTCTATCTAGCTATGAGAATTAGGACAAATAACTCCCCTACCACCCCTCCAGCCTCAGTTTCCCTATCTATAGAACAAAAAGGTTGGAACCCCCTAAGTGTCTGACATTTTTTTATGTTAAAGGCAAGAATCAGTCTTAGGTAGAATACATCAGGAAAGAATGATGATATTAGAAATAAAGTTATCAGGGGCGCCTGGGTGGCTCAGTTGGTTAAAGCCTCTGCCTTCAGCTCAGGTCATGATCTCAGGGTCCTGGGATCGAGCCCCACATTAGGGCTTTCTGCTTAGCAGGGAGGCTGCTTCCTTCTCTCTCTCTGCCTATTTGTGATTTGTCACTGTCAAATAAATAAATAAAATATTTTTTAAAAAATAAAAAATTTTTAAAAAAAGAAATAAAGTTATCAGAGTAGAAACTCCCTTTTTTACCCCTTTCCAAGAAAGAAGCACTAAAGTTGTGTTTCTAAAGGTCAAGGGTGATGGGAGGTTGATGAGTAGAGAGTTTTTCCAGTTTTTGTCCTAGAAAGGAGGTCCCAGCAAGGGAAGGGGTGAACAAATACTTGAAGCCCGGTTGGCAGAAGGACCCTGGCCACATTATGAGACAAGATGGACATTCTGTGACCACATAAGGTGGAAACAGCAGATTCCTTAAACATCTGATGGCCATGCCTCTTCTTAGATAAGAACCATAAAAATCTAGGTGCTGGGAAGTGAAGGGGATATAGCCACTACTATAATCTGGAGTGCCATCTTTTATGTATAAACTAAAAATCGCATTTTTTTTTTTTTTTTTTTTTTGCCAGATAGGATGAAACCCCAAAGAGATGTTATTCTAGTTTGGTAGATGGAGAGGACTTGAAACAAAGATAGGTCATTTGAGAATCTGGGATGCTTAAGCTTTAGTGCAGCTGGCGTGAATTTTCATTTAGTCAAGGGAAGATCCCCAGGACATGAATATCCCCTTCACTTCCCAGCCCCTAGATTTCTATGGCCCTTACAGGCTGACCAGGACTCAGTGTGAATCTGAGAAGAAACTGTGGTCCCATTAGTCCTGCATTCTAGCTGTCAAAAATGGATGGTCTATATCTGGAGTAGAGGAAACACTCAACATTCAAAACTGTGATATAAATAAATTACAACATGGGAGGTAGTAAATTGTGCTGGAGAGAGTTTAGAAAAAGACACTCTGTAATGATAAATAATATGCTTCACATTTACTGTGCCTTCTTGCCACAAGTGATCTATTAGTGTCCTGCCACATCTTTCTGAGCCTAGAAGAGACACAACCCTAGGTGTAAGAATACTTCTCCAGGAGTAAGATAGAGAGTAAGGATGGCCACAATCAACACACTGCTCACAACACCCAAACTCTAAATGGTAGGAAACAGCCTGTGCCAGCTAAGGTTTTCTGTTTGGGAATTTATTTTCCATGCACCCAAATGCATTTATTAGTTTCAAAGGAATTTTAATCATGACCTTCAATCACTTCAGCCTACCCTTATAGCTTTGCAGTCTCTTAGAATCAAGACATGAGGTTTAAGGGTCTATTTTTTAAAAAATAAAACTTTGACCTGAACTGCATCCAATTCTAAACCAACATTAGCCCAGTTTGCAGTAAGCAAGTATGACATCATTTCTAAAAATCAAATTTTAACTTCCAGATGGTGCAAAACCACAAGCAGGCACACAGGCCTCCTGATACACAGAAGTTTAAATACAGGGAAGATCAGGAAAGAAAGAATACAGTCAATTAAAAATCTGAATATATATTTCCAAATTGGGTTCTCCTCACAAATGTCTGGACTTCACTCAACAGTGTACATCATTTATAAAAGAATCAGAAAAGCCTTGACGGTTAGATTATATTCCAACATCAGGTAGAGACATAAAAGTTAAAATGTTTGGGAATATGAAATACCTTTCTCTGCCTCTTCACTCAACACCAAATAATTTTAAGGGCCTTGACTCTCTCTCTCTTAAACTTTGGCAGTTGACTCAATAATAAAACTTGGCAAGGCAAAGAGCACCATCATTTCCCAGAAAAACAAAAGAAAATTAGAACTATATGATATAGTCAGCACACAAAGACCCATAGGCTGAATTTCCAATTTTTACATATGACTTAACTGCATGGGAACTAGTCACCTAAAGTTAAAACTAGGACAATCTTTTCATTTTAGGAGAATTACTCATTTCCTTCTGATCCAGTTGTATGTGTATTTGTGTGTGTGTGTGTGTGTGTAAGCGCTTGTAACTTATGAAAATTTAACCTTTTATCCAGCAGTATAAAAAATGAAATATTTGTTATCACTTCAGCTCCAGGTACTAACTTGAAAGAAAAGGACCATGGTAATAAAATGGGCAAAAATTGCCAAAATCAGAGTTAAATATTATTAATCTTTATGTCAGCACCCAGGAATTATAAGCAGTTCCAATGGTGAGGTATGTTTCTAGAAGTGCTATACATAAGCTTCCCGACCTTTCTGCTATATTTTGCATAGGCTTCGGAAACAGTTTCAATGTTGTGACCAAACACTAAGTGCTACTTGATGTGCCATAAATAATTTTTAAAAAATCAAACGTAAAATGACTACAGCAAAACTTGAGAAAATAAAAAAAAAATTTTAAAAACCCTTGAGAGGGGAAAGGAGCCACTTGAAAATTTTCGCAGATTAAATACAACTTACTTGACAACACTTCAGGAATTGAATAAACACACTATCACAAAGAACAATTTTAAAAGAAAATGAAACTGGAACACTCACAAAACTCCCAATATAGTTTTATTTCACATTCAAAATTTCGTTTGTTTGTTTTTCCTAATAGCAGACTTGGATTAAGGGTATATTTGAATTTGATTTAACTTGCAATCATTCAAATGGGGAGAAAGTTTCAAGTTGAAAGTATGTATAATGTACACAGCCTCCAAAGACCCAAACACTAAAAATAACCTAAAATCGAAAACTTGCTATTGTGGTAACCACTAGTTCTCACTCACATCCAATTCTCCTTTCCTTCCTGAACCCAGGGAAGATCTCCCTTCCCAGCCCCTTGCAGCAAGATGGGGGTATGTGTTTTATTCATGAAATGTAAGCAGAAGTGACATATGTCACTTCCTGTCCATCCATCCCCACATTCTTTCCCTTACTCGGAGATCTTGAAAGCTACATTTTCCAGATGGTAGAGCTGTAAGATGGTAGAACCCCCATAAATCTGGATCCAAGTGACCATGAGAAGCAGGGTCACTCCCTACCTTCTGTTGCTCTAATCCTCAACCCTCAACATGGGCTGGATTTACAGTATCATGTGTCAAACTACTCAGAAATTATTATAATTTCCACTGGTTTTGCTAAGGAGTGGGTACCTTAAAACTAGAAAGGTCTTAGAAATTGCTACAAACCTAAAAGAAAAAGGGCCATTATTCCTCCCTTTACTCCTTCTACGTGTAGGACCTCAAAATCTATTTTCCCCTAGCCTTTCACCCCAAATCCAAAGAAGGGGGGTAAAGACAGAAAGCAAGGACAGAACTAAATGGAGCAAGTAGCGGAACCCTGGGGAGTGGACACTAAGGTCAAATGTCAAGATCTTGGGAACAGAGAGAAAAAGATCAAAGAGGAAGAATACTCTGAAGCACATTGGTTTGAACTTCCATTTGTATAGTAAAGTGGCCCAAGTGGACAACTCTGTTTTGCAAAAGTCTCTGCATTGCAAATATATATGTTCAAGACGCCCATGGTAATGGCCACGGACTTACCCATAGGCCTTCCAAATTTCAGGAACACAGTAAGGTGTTAGAAGCAAAATGAGGATGATAACAATAC